TGCATAAAGCGCTCCGGTAGTGATCATGGCCCATTTGTGCTCATAGACTACAATTCTGAATGAGTTTATTGTAGCCGCGTTTCAGGTTTTGGTTCAAAAAATTCCCATAACTCTCCTCGCAGAGCGCTTTGCAGATAATGAAAACAGAATTAAAATCAGCGTTCCGCGCTCTGTTAGGCGGTATACATCTCACATGGAAACGCCACTTCAACGAAGTATCTTTCCCTTGTGAGTATCATATCAATATACTTGTGTTACCTCTTTCAGCGGACGGGCAGCTTCAAAGAACGAGGAGCACGAAATGTGTTAAAGCGTTTAGCAGAGCAGCAACAGAATAAAGAGGTGCGCTGCTTTGTGAAGAAAAGTTAGCTCTACGAAAAATTACGTACTAACCTTCTACTACAGGTTTTTATTGGCTCCAACAGGAACCATGCAACCGCCATGGCTTGTCATGGTAAGCAGCTTGGTATACCAATTACGTGTGTGCTACCACGCTTTATACCATTATCGACAATTTCACTTTGCAAAGATTTTGGAGCTACAGTTGTGGTGCAGGTATGTGAAGTACCTATATCGTATCACGGATACTAACATAAGACTTCGTCTACACTGTGACTTATAGGGAATAAACAATATGGAATCAAGAAAAGTTGCATTTGAGCTTGCACAAAAGAATGGTGGAGAGTTTATTGATGGACATGATCACATTGATATTATCGCAGGAGCTGGCACCATTGCACTGGAGATTTTCGAAGATGTGAGGTTTTTGCCTTACTCAGATAATTACTGCGAGCTGAAGAATCTTGAAATCTAAAGTTTAAATTCATGAACTTCATTGCTTTACCAGGCCCATAGATCCATTCCTAAGTCAAATTTGAAACCTTGCCTAGATTGCTTGCTAACTGCTGACGGGCGCAAGTGGCCTTTAAAGAGTCAGTTTGACGCCTAGAGCTTGACTTTACCGCCAATAATGAAGATTAGGACCTGTCCTTAGCTAAGCTCTCTCAAATAGTACGCTTAAAGGCAG